AAATAAAATGTAAAAAAACATTTATTCACCCTCATCTTGTTCTCAACACATATGAAACACAAAAGGAGAAGTTAAAAGTATTGACCAAAAAGCACCATAAATATAATCCATATGATTTGCATGCTAGTGTTCTGGTGAACACACAGACTAAAATTTGGTCTAAAAAGTCATTATTTAATCAAATATACTTGCCCTCCCTTATGCATTCTCAGTTTTAGGACTGTTGTCATAACAACACCAGTTGCCAATGATTGTTGCAAATGTTTGAATGTGTGCATGCACTATCTGAGCACTATTGGGCAAGATTTTCAGCAAATAATACATTTTTATAACAAATTTGATGTCTTTTTTGTTAATTTTGGAATTTGATAGCCCCATGCAATGCTTTCTTATTATGGAAAAGAGCATTCTGCTGAATATCTCCTTTCGTGGTCCATTTGAAGAAAATATCAAGAGGATGAGTAAATGATGCCTGAATTCCCATTACTGGTTGAACTATTTCTTAAAAATACCATGTCAAATCTGTATTTTGTGTTTAAATGGTTGATATCCATTTTAGCTTAATTCGGGATAATTGGGGCATTTTTATCCAGTCATCGCAATGGCAAAAAGTGGCCCAATTTACCTGAATTCACCCTACATGTGCTGTTGTCATTGCAGCGAACCATTATGTTTGGGGTTTGATGATTTAGGGGTTGTAAATGCTAAAATGAGTCTGTCAGTGCAACCATGTTAAGCATTTTAAATCAGTCAATTATGAGATTACATTTTTTTGATGATTTAGGGGTTGCAAATGCTAAAATGAGTCTTGTCAGTGCAACCATGTTAAGCATTTTAAATCAGTCAATTATGAGATTACATTTCAGTCAGGATGTTGATGTTAAAAGGTAGCTATGTACACAGTGATAAGTATTTAGAGAGGATTTGACGTTATATGTCTTTTGTCTTCTGTTTATTCACTGCTCTCCATAGATTGACAATATTCAGAGTCTGATGCAGTGTCCTAGTGTGCTGGTCTGTGTGGGTCGAGAGCCCTTCAGGCCGCTGCTCATTGAAAGTTTGAAGAAGCTCTCAGACGAAAAGCTTCCAGGAATGGGCACAAGGTCTCACTCCAGTGTCTGCAGTGAAGGCCATGAAAGCAAAAAGAATGGTAAATATGTTCTTTTATTGTGTACACAGTTCAAGTTAACTACCGTTTACATTCATTTGTTTTAAGTGAGTCATTATAGTGATTAACTAACCATCTACCCAACCCACGTGTCTCTAATAATAGACTGAAGATGAAACAACCATTTGCCACCAACAGTTAATGTATTCAAGGGGTTGGTGAATCAAGAGCCTCTTTCAATTGTGTTGTTTGCATGTTGAAAATATGTTATTATCTAATGAAATTGTATATCTATTTTTTTGTCATTTTGTTTTAACAGTTAACTTTGGCCTGGAGACAAAGAAAAGCATTATCCATCCACGATCAGACTCCAGTAATAGATCTACAAGATTCTCTCTTTCTTCAGAAAAGTCCTATCAAAATGGAATATGCATGACACCAGGGTTATTATCCTTAATGAAATTGTATATCTATTTTTTTGTCATGTTGTTTTAACAGTTAACTTTGGCCTGGAGACAAAGAAAAGCATTATCCATCCACGATCAGACTCCAGTAATAGATCTACAAGATTCTCTCTTTCTTCAGAAAAGTCCTATCAAAATGGATTATGCATGACACCAGGACAGTCCGGTTGTGTCAGCAACTGTCCTTATGTTAAAGAATTTGTAGTGAACGATGACATTGAGAAGAGAGTGCTTGTTAACAAAGATGGCAGCCTTTCAGTGGAGATGAAGGTTCGCTTTCGGCTCTTCAACGATGAGACTCTTCAGTGGTCCACCGAGATCAAGAAGTCATCAGCAAATGTGAACGACTCTGGTTCTGTAAAAGATGCAGATTATCTTCAAGGTAAAGCTGAGTATTCAGACCCAGACTCCATATCTGCATCTGAGACTGATGAAGCCTTTGCAACAAAGCTGCATCAGAAGCATATCGAGGAAACACTTTGTCAGAACTGTTGCAATCACTGCCAAGAGTACGACATCTGGAAAAACCCCATGCACAAAGAACCAGGGGCCTGCAAATCACCCAGTTCCAGTGCATCGTCTCACAAAGTTGTACATAAAAAGTCATCGGTGGATAGTACGCACACAATTTCTCTTTCCAGTGGCGAGTACACTGAGCATGTGGTGGAAAAGGCCTCGTGCTTTCAGCAGACAATGGATGAAGGAGACACTAGAGTAGAATACTGTGCAATAAGTCGTTGCTGTAATCGAAGTGAAGTATCATCTGTTGGTGTCATGTCAAAGAGCAAGAGATCTTGTGAGGACGACCGTGAGAGTCACGCTAAAACTAAATGTTTTCATATGGAACCTAAAATCTCTCCTACTCCACATTGTAAGGTCATGGAAGAGCGTCCGGTTTCTGCAGTCAGCAACTCGTCCAAAGTGATTGAGTCTTTGAAGGAAGATCAGGATGATGATTATGATGACCTGCCTCCAAGTGTCTCAAGAGCATCACACTGGTCTCAAAGTGACCATCTTGAGAGTGATGCTCAACCCAAATGTGTTCATTGTTGTGGCTACCAGTCTTCACCAAGATCTTATTTGTCCCCCAGACCTCCAAGTAAAGAATCAAGCAGTGCTGTTCAGTCACTTAAGCTCAAAAAGTATAAAACCCCTTTTGCAGCGCCAGCAGAGCCAGATGGGATGAGTATGACATCTCTGATTTCAAAAGCATCCTCCAGATCCCATCTATGTCACTGTGGAGCCATAACCCCGAGTTCAGTTGCATCTGGTAGGCAGCATGGGCTTGAGGGAGAGGCTTGTAGTGCAAATTCCAGACATAGCCAAGCGTCTTGTAAATCTAGAGTCCAAGCAAACAGCCCTGGATCCAATGCATCAGATGCTCTGGAGATATGTGACGATGACGCTGCAAACAGATCTTTAAGTGCCACATCAGGTGTGTCGAAACGATCGGTTGAGTCTGGTGTATGTTCATGCTGTGGTGAGCATAAAATATTGAATGGGAATCCAGAGGGGAGTGAACCAGAGGAAGCTGATTACATTTTGTCGAAGCCAAACAAATCTGCTGCATCCACTTCAAATGCTCATGAAAACTGTGAACCAGTTAATGATATTTCGGAAAGGGAAGCCACACGGGAATGCTCTGAGTCTGCACTGTCTAAAAATTCAAATGCCTCTTCTACTTCTAAAATCTCAAAAAAGTCTAACTGCTCTACACATGAAATGTATTCTGTTGGGAAATCATCAAAATCTGAACATAATGAAGCAGAAAGTGTTGGAGAAAGAACCAAAAGTGCCACGCCAGCAGTCGGGTCAGACTGCATTGTTTCAGAGAGAGAGCCCACACCAGCCTTGGTTCTGAAAGAAATGGATAAAGCTGAAGAAAAAAGCCAAGAAAGAGCTGCCAGCCCAATGTCAGCCCATGCAGATTTATCAGGTGCTTCAAGGAAATCCCACACACCAAAGTCTGCACATTCAAAGAAAGCTAAAACGCCTAGATGTTGTAGTCCAAATGATTTAGAGGAAGTGCCATCAAACTTATTTAGTTCTCAAGTTGATATATCAGAAAGTGCTGCTACTCAGAGTCATACTACGACAGATAATCATTGTGGACAAGACACAGAGTTTCCTCAAGAAGTGAGGTCAGCTAGTGCCATGTCTAATAAATCAAACCGATCTTCTGAACATCCGTCGCATGCATCAGAGCAAACAACTAAGTCTGTCAAATCTTGTTGCGGCTTACAATACAAAGCCACTCAAAATATCAGTGGCCCTGATATTCAGTGTGAGCCGGAAACTGAGGTAACCACTGAAGAAAGATTATGCAGCCCACTGTCCAACTGCTCCAAAATATCTGTAAAGTCACATGCATCCTCAAAGTATTCACACGCAGAGTCTAAATCTGAGAAAAGAGTTTCCACTGCAATGTCTGTTCAAACAAACACGTCTAAAGGATCTTGTAGGTCCCGCAAATCAAACTACAATGTTCCAGAAACCACAGTTACCTCAGAGCCAAATGATACAACACCTAATGAATGTGCAACTCCAAAAAGTGAGTCAAATAGAGCCATCAGTGCAATGTCTCAGACCTCAGAAAAGTCTAATGCCTGCTCTGAAAGATCTATCAAATCCAATGGAAAGAGCCTTGCATCTCAGGAAGTGAAGAATGGGAAAGACATGACACAGAATGCCTTATCTGTGACCTCTCCATTGCCTAGATCAAAGAGGTCTCCATCTCCTAGATCAACCCACAACAATGAAATTAAGAAAAATGAGAGCAGAGCACCAAGTGGGATGTCAGTAAGCTCTAACCTATCCTTGCAATCCCAGAGATCCAGTAAATGTCATTGTCACAGCTCCTCAAGTGGTAATTTGAGAGAGACAAAGATTGAGATCCTAAAAGAGGATGCCAAAGGTGAATCCGAGAGTTTGTCAGGAAAATCAAAACTGTCAACTAAATCTCTTATATATAACATTAAGTCTTCAGGCAATCAATTAGATGAGCCTCTAAGCCCTACATCAACAGCATCTGTTTCTCTTGGACTAGTAGAAGAGCACAAGGGTGATGACTTTGATGAACAATCAACCAGTGACATGTCACACAGAAGAACACAGGAAGCTGGATATACGTTAGAGACTGAAAATGGAGTGGATGCAGAGGAAAGGCCAAGGACAGAAATGTCTATGAACTCTGCAATTTCAGACAAATCCAAAAAGTCCCATCACAAGAACTGTAAGACTCCTGTTCAAGCCCTCTCGCCTGTCTCAGCTGAAAGCGTCATGTCAGCAGAACTCAAGAAAAGCAAGTCAGGAAGCCAGTTAAATGAAAACAATATCAGAGTGCCTTCCAGTTCAAGAAGTAAGTCACCCTCGAGAGTTTCACAGGGAAGCACTAAAAATACAGCTATGAAAGAGAGAGATTGTGAAACTGTCAACATCATCAACCATGCAGAAATAAATGAAACCTCTTCAAAAAATGACCGAAGTGAAAGAACCTCTGGAAAAGCTAACCCAGAAAGTGACTGTTTAAACTCTTCAAAAGCCTCTGAACATTCAGTGAAGTCCAAGAACGGGCACAATACTAAAGATAGTGATAGATCTAAATGCAAACGATCTAAATGTTCTTCCCAATGTTTGGAAATAAATGGGCTGAATATAAAATATAACGGAGACAATGATGGTGGCACGGTTAAGTCATCCACATCAGACAGAACATCTGTGAAAAATGAAGCATCCAGGCCAAATTCAGCAGGGATGTCTGATATTTCCCAAAATTGTGTAAGTCTACCACAAGAGATGCCAAACAAGAATATAGCATCACTCAAGCATCCTGGTTCCTCAAGCGACAGTGTTTTATCTCAGGCACTTTCAGCAGCAGATCTGTTGAAAGAGATTGTCGGCAATGCAAGACCAGTCAGCAGAGGATCAAAGTCAGTTGCCTCCAGCAAAAATGTCGACAAGGTAGAAAATAAAAGCCAAAAAAGCAGCAGGAGCAAACACAGCAAAGTCAGCATCTCATCAGAGTGCAACAACAAGGAACTGATGCCGTCGTGCTTAACGAACACGTCCTCTACGGAAGTTGTGAGTGACTGGCTGAGGAACATTCCCCTTGATGGCCATGTTTATAAAATGGATGTCGAACTCACTGAAGATGTGACCCTGGCTCAAGGTGGTGAGGACACTTCTCAAAGAGACCAATTTGAGGCATCAAAAAGAGGCATAATAGAGATTGAGAAACCCCATGATGATCAGGCAGATGTGAATCATATTCAGCTGGTGACCAACGACATTTATGTTGAGACAGAGTTGTGCGACGAAAGAGCACAATTGAAACCTGACCGCGAAGCATTAACCAAACAAGACAGTTTGCAAAAGCAGTGTCATTCTTCGGTTCAGGTCATGAAGGTTTTACTGGGTCCAAAACTAGACAGATCCAGTAGTTTACCTGAGGTCTCCCCTGTATATGGCAGAAAATTAAGCCAGTCTGCTCAAGGGCTGTTGGATTGCTTCGCGAATTTACGATTGATTGACTCCGACTCTAAAAAGGAAAAGCATCATAAATATAATGAAATCATGTTGATCCTACAGTCTCTCTGGCTCCAAAAGCCCTCTGAGGATGAGCAGAAAAACCAGAACGCAAAGGAACATCCCTCTGCTGAAGATGAATTTAACCCACAGTCTTCATCTGGAGTTGATGTAAGCAGCGGCTCCACCGGCTCTGTTAAAGGTAGCATGAATGGCGTATTAGAAAAAATAGAGACCACACAAGGCACAATACCACCAATTGCCGAACGAGAGGGCTCACTGCAAAATAAAGAAGAAGATGAGGTTAAGTCTACAGCTCAAGCGTGTGAATGTTTAGATCCATCCAAAGTCCCCTCAGATCCAGTAACTCCAGACCTTGCAGAACGAGTCCAGGGAAGTCCAGTAAATGCACAACTGAATGATGACCAAGAAAATGGTGTATTGCAAGAAGATCAATCAGATCAAACGCCACAAACAACCTCTTACAAGAGCTCTGGGAATGAGAGTAATACTATGAAATCTCAAGAAAATACAAGCTCGGGAACTCCACCGTCTGTTCAGAGAGCTCCGCTTACTAAAAGAGTTTCACAAGACCCAGATCCCATTTGGGTGCTGAGCTTATTAAACAAGCTAGAAAAGCAGTTCATGTTACATTACGCAGATGCCATGGCAGAGTTCAAAGTGAGGTGGGATTTGGATGACAATGAGATGCTCGATAAGATGATAAGTGAGCTGAAAGAGGAAGTGCACAAACGGATTCAATCGAGTATTAACCGTGAACTGCAAAAAATCCAAAGTCGGGCTGGCAGGGGTCCAAGACCTCCGGGAAATACTCTATCGAGAAACTCAACGGTCCAGACTGAGCAGCGACGCAAGCGTCTTCGGGTCATGCGCAATAAGTCCATCTTGTCGAGAAGTGATGAAAATTACACTGCATCAGGTACAGAATACAGCGACCAGCGCAGTGATGATGAATACTGCCCATGTGATGCATGCATGAAAAAGAAAATGGCGTCCAGAGCAGTCCAGCGAGCTCAGGCTTTGAGTTTGGCTCCAGTTATGATAGAATTTGATCTGCAGAAAATTTTGCAAATGAAAAAGGATCCAGCCCAACCTACAGAACCAAAGATGGAAGAACAACACACCACCAGCGTGACTTGTGCAGTTAATAAAGAAGAGAACAACTTAGAAGTGGTTCATGAAGTGGCAGAGGAAGCGAATGACAATACTAGAGGCCATAAATTTGAGATGGCAGATCAAGAGCCAGACTGTGTTGTCAATACAGTAGATGAAGGCAAAAATGCAGAAAACATCAAAGATGTGTCTGTAGACTCCGAGACAAGAGATCCAAATGAAGAGGAAGCAAATTACAAAATAGAGTGTGGTGATGTGGAAGGTGGTGAAGAAGAGGTGGAGAATGAAGAAATGGTGGTAAATGTTAAGACATGTGCTGAGGAGGAAGTTGAGGTTGTTGAAGAAGAGGCTGAAAATGAAGGAAGTACAGAAGAGGACTGTGAGAAGAAAGACAGTCCTGAGGGAGATGCGGGAAATGTAGAAAATAATGATACGGCTGTGGAGGCAGAAAAAGAGGATGAGATGACAGAAACTGGTGAAGGAATTGAATCGGTTGACAAGGAAGCAGAAACTGAGACTGGGAAAGAGAGTACAGAAGACAAGTCTGCAGAAGATGGAGGTGATTCTAAGTCAAATAAAGTTGATACACCTACTGAAGGTGAAACTTCAAATGACGAGTCCACCAGTGAGAAGAATGCTGGTGGGAACCAGGATGGATGTGCAGAGGATGATGCCAACAAAGATGGGACATCAGACACGGGACGGGACACAGTCAGATCTGAAGAAAACGGCAAGACGCCAAAGGTAAATATCGAGGTGGAGGTCAAAGGAGACACAGAAAATGAAACAGACAAATGTAGCTCTGTTGAGGAAGATTTTGAGAAAGAAAATGATGTTGCTGTTGTTGATGACTGGGAGAGCACACTAGCGAAACAGGTAACGAGAACATCAGTGGAGTCTCAACCAGGATCCGTGGAGAACTGCATAAATCCAACAGCTAAACTGAAAGATCTTCAGAGTTTCATGGAGAGTGTTGAAAGTCAAGGAGATAGCATGGTTGTGATTACTAAACAACCAGCGTACAAAGAGACACATGGAAACCGCAAGGACATGTGCAATGGCTTGACTAAATGGCAAGTGTCTCCTAAAATAAGCAACAAGGCCAGTAAACAAAAGAAAGGACAATGATGTTATGGTGACCAATGAAGAAACATTTGATATTCCCGCATATAAAGCACTTTATTACTAATGTTACTTTAGATGGGACTTAAATGATGTGAGATGATTAATCTCAAAGACTTCTAAAGAACTAAATAGACATTTCAAAACTGTATATTGTACAATTCTGTATATTTTTCGTGTAGTCAATGTATTATTATTGTATTGAGTCTGTTAAAAGGCATTAAACTTTCATTTACACATATTTACTCCTGGATTCATATACACAGTCAAATACTGTATATACTCAGTCACAGAATCATGTACATTTTACCGATTAACATTGAATTCTCAGGGTTCTGAATGTTACAAGTATTATACTATTCATGCATTGTTTGCTCAAACCTTAACCAAGGTTAGCATTGCATAACTTCTAGTTTATGTGCTAAATGGCACAATTATATTTCAAAGTATACAACTGCAAATATGATGTAAGAAAGAGGTATTACCCAAAATGCTTTTGAGACGTGTTCGGTTTACTGCAGCAACTTTTTGCCATGACGGAATGACTTAACTAAGTTTTATTTAATTCTGAATTTGCAAGATTTTCTGATGCTGCGAAGTGGTGCTTGATGCCACATTTTACATGATAAAAGATCTCACCATGTGTGGTATTTAAATCATCCTTGATCCAGTTTTGTTGTATGTTGCTATTGTACTGTAACATTTACAGTAATAAATGCTCAACTCTGAGAATGTCACATGATGTTTTCATAACAGGTCGGCACATATTTAGCATTAGGAGTTTGTTGTTTTAGGTATCTGACTATGTAAATGTCAACAATTGCACTGACTTGCTCATCAAGTTTCTGTTTGTATTGTTGCTCTGCCATGGCGTTTTTTTTTTTTTTTTTTACCTGAAACAGGATACAGTGCTTTGTGTGGCTAAAATTGTAACATCTATGTATTTGTGTACAGCATGTTTCCACAAGTTCCACAAATCAGACTTTCAGATTTTTGCAGATAATTTACAGTGAGTTTTGCACAGGTTCGCACCATTTATTTTATTTTTTTCCGCATTGTAGTGTTCTTTGTTATACGTGTTTTTCGTTATTTGTCCTTCAAGTATTCAGTGATATAGTCGGGAACACACACTTAAGTACACATAATTGCAGCAGAGTTTGAGTCCAGCAGCTTGAATAGATCTTGCGTGATTCTAATCTCATTGCCATTGCATTGGGAGTATCTTTAGCAGGGAGAGAGGATTGAGGTTGACTTGCATCAGTCATTAATCTAGTACAGCTATTAGTCAATGGTATGTAAATGTAGTTCAACAGGGTGCATAGATGTCACACAAGCCTAGACTTTACAGTATATGTAGAGAAAACCATTAATTTCACATAGCCTATGCTAGTTTGAATAAAATGCGTTTATCCCATTTATTTCCAATGTAACGACCCTTGTGTTCTGCTTTTGAAACCACAGGCCAGAGAAGGGTTGACATCCATTCAAGTGTCATTCTTACAGTTTACTACCAACAAAAGTTTGGAATAATTAAGAATTCTTAAATGTTTTAAAATTCGTTTCTTATGCTCATCAAATCTGCATTTATTTGATTTTAAAAAATGCAGTGAAAACAGAAATATTTTTTACAATTTAAAATATGTGTTCTCTATTTTAATATATTTTAAAGTGCAATTTATTCCTGTGACGGGGAATCTGAATTTTCAGCATATTAGGATGATTTCTGGAGGATCATGTGACACTGAAGACAAGAGTAATGATGCTGAAAATGCATATTTGCATAGAAATAAATTACATTTTAGAATATAATATAAAAAAAAAATGGTTCTTTTAAATTGTAAAAATATTTCACAATAATACAGTTTTTACTGTATTTTTAATCTAATAAATGCAGCCTTGGTGAGCATAAGAGACTTATTTCAAAGATATTAAAAATTTATTTCAAAACTTTTAGACCGGTTGTGTATATACTTCATAGAACAGATTGATATTTACTTTAAATAATTTGAGCTTGTTTTTTTCCAAGACAAGTATTTAGAGCTGTTAAAATATTTTAGTAATGTAAAAGTCATCTGAAATGTTTTCAGAAGGAAGAAGGAAACCTGCCTTAAACAGTACACTTACAGTAGTGGCAACAGTCCCGATTTACATGATTACATTAATATGTTCTTTATCAGGTCACAGAAAATACATGCTCCTACAATAGTTTTTAGAATTCACATAAAAGTTAAAAAATCGAACATTCGTTTGCAAAGGCTCTGCTATGACCAAATGTTCAAAGATCACATGACATAGTGTTTCTACATTGGGGCCAAGATAGCCATAATTTTTTAGTTCAGCAGCTTTGATCACAAAAATATCAGTCAACAATTGAATATTTCCTGCTTACCAGGGAATATTAAAACAGCTTTTTGGAAACTAAGAAACTTCATAATCACCTTTAGTAATACTGATTAGCAACGCTAGTAATAGTCATTCTAAATCATGTGTTTGAGAGATTTATGTCACAGTTTGCATATGGATGAATCTCAGGAAACCTGTCAAGAACATGTGAACATGTAATTGCCTAAATCAAAATGTATTTATTTATTTTAACATTTTGCATTAAGAAAATTAAGCCCCTTTTTAAGGCCATTTTAAGTTTCTTTTCCCATGATAAGTTTTAGCTCCAAATTACATACATTATTTTATATCTTTATGCAGTTTTGAATTTTAAAAAGTCACATTACGGTAATTTTTACTGTAATATTTTTGGTCATTTTTTACATTTTCATGAGAATCACCCATATTGCATCAATTTCAGTAGATATTACCTCTGTAAACTATAAGTGATTGTATGTGTTAGTTACATATAATCTAAGCTCAAAAGTGTCTCCGCCCTCTCATTTCTACAGTATCTACTCCAGTTCAGAATCAGGCTCATGTATGAGAGCCATCAGCTTCTCCCGTAGCTCCGTAAATGTTGGTCTCTCCTCAGGGTTTGATCTCCAGCACAGCAGCATAATGTCATAGAGCGCTTCGGGACAGCCGGCAGGTCTCTCCATCCGCTCTCCTCTCTGAATGGACCGAACGCATGACATTTTTTCCATCCCTGAGATTGTGGAAGAAAGATGTGTTGGGTGAGATGTGATACTACAACCACATTATGTTTAGGGTTGTGAAATGTGTTTACCAGGGTATGGGTCATCTCCATACGTCACGATTTCAGTTAAAAGGATGCCAAAAGACCAGACGTCACTCTTGCTTGTGTAAGCCTTGTCCTCAAATATCTCAGGGGCCATCCATTTCACAGGGACCTTTATATCTGCAGATAGATGAGAACTGTTATGCACTTTGTGTTTGTATGTCTTACATGCCTGAACGAACATATCAAATATCTCACCTGATGAAATTCTGTGGCTTCCAGCGAGATTAATTTCAGCGAGTCCAAAATCGGCTATTTTGCAGCATTGCATGTCGGTAAGCAGAATGTTATCGGCTCTCAGATCACGGTGAACTATTTTATTCTCAATGTAAATCATTCCTTCAGTAATCTAAAAAAGAAATAAATCCAGTATGTGACTTAGTTTAGCAAAGGGCCGTAACTACTACAGACATTGAGGGGAAAATGTTATATTTTTGCCTCAGTGGTCTAGGCGCTCGACAATGTCAAAATGATTGAGATGGCTTCAGTTTTTAATGGTCAAAGAGTGCGAGGTAAAATGTAAGTAACTAAAAACGGTAAAACTCAACTGTTTAACTCTAGGGGAGTTGGAAAATTAGCCTATTTTCAAAAATAGTGGAGTGTTCTTTTAACAATGCAAGATGCACTGCTGAGGTATATGAAATGTTTTATATAAATGTGACTGTTGTGGCAGATGTGAATGGGGAGTTTCTATGCATCTGTAAGGTGTTTTAACCCCAAATAGAGGGCTTCCTCATTCCTCAGCTCCTTGAGTGCATTTGGAGAACTGATATGTCCTTCATGATGATCGATTTCCGGGAGTGAGGAAATGAGGAAGCATCAATTTGAGAAGCAGCTGATCTCGCATGACAGCAGCACCAAATGGAATTGCAAAAATAATGAACACGTCACCTGTCTCCCTAACATTAATGTCAGTGTTGCTGTGTCAGGCCACTTAAACTAACAGCAATAAATGGAGCCTTTTCATAGAAATCAATGTATGAATTGCTTACTTAGAGAGAATGCATTGACATATATAGGTTATAATGATTCATCAGTGTATGTTATTCTAAAGATTTAAAAAAAAAAAAAATTTTTTGTGTACTATAAAGTTAGGTTAAAAATAGCACTGCTTTGAAGTTTCCAGAAAACCCTTTTCTAGCCGCTCTTATTTTTTAATAAAAGGGGTCATATAGAGACACTTTTCACCATCCTGCCCTGCAGTCCCTCCCATTGATTTTCTTGTTTCTTTCAGAAATGGGAGTTTTTATGTTGAGCTTAATTGTTTTTAAGGAACACTGGCCGTATGCTTTTTGATCACATTCCAGACAACTGAATTACTCTCAAAGAAATCAAGTTACCTGGACGGCAAAATCCATCATGATTGAAAACTCCAGGTCTTGTTTCTCTTTGTGGCCTGAAGAAAAGTATAAACTTATTTCTTAAAAAGCACTTTTTTTCTGCAAAAGCAATGTGTCAGTTAACGTCAAAATGAAGGTAATGATATCTATAGTGTTTTTAGTTGCAAACAAGTTGATATTACTTCACTTACTGATGAGAAATTGCTTTAAACTGCCATTTTTCATGAGCTCTGTGACTAAACACATGGGTTCACTATTAGTACACACAGCGTAGAGCTTCAGCAAACGCTCATGATGCAGCTCTTTCATGATATCAATCTCTGTTTTGATATTTGAATAGTTGACATCTGCAAGTAAAGTGGGACAGATAATATCAATTGATCATAATTTTAAAAGTAAATCACAGGTTTGTTTTGGATCATGATTAGCAGGTGAAAAATGATACTAAATGCAACAAACCCTATATTCACGACAGCAAAATATGTTTATGAGAATATTAATGAATGTCATTTCTTAATTTTTAGGGCATTTTGTTTGCTTTTATGTCGGCACTCAGTGTTAAATGTAAAACATGGGACATGAAGTAAAACCAGTTGAGAACCACTGATTTAACCTGATTTACCTTTGAACTCTTTGATGGCCACCTCTGTGGTGTTGTTCCAGAGCCCCTGCCAGACCTCCGCAAACTCCCCGCTGCCCAGCTTCTTTATTTTGGTAAGTGAGCTTCTCTCTACCTCCCATTTGGTTTCAAATGACAGAGTCAGAGGAGCTGGCTGGTCCAGCTAGAAGAGTAATGGACAGATTGGAATTGTGCTGGAAAACTTCGTTATAGGATGCTGCAGTACTTTCATTAATCTGTAGGTTGTAACTCTTCTCTGACCTTCACACAGGGTTCGTGAAGCTTCGCGCAGAGTCCGCCCTCGTTTTTAGAGTAAAACTCTATCAGCTCACGCAAGGTCTGGAAGGTTGTGTGATGAACAAGGAAAAACTGCTTGTCGTTTTCTCCCTTCTTGACCCTGTATTGCCGTGCATGAAGGCCATTCCACACTTTAAAATAAATCATTTGTAGAAAATGTTATTTAGCTACTCTCCAAGGTAAGATCAAGGTTGGTTTATTGTTACTAGATCTCTTTTTTTATTGGGTTGAAGTGCAAAACAATACAGTTAAATAAAAGCGTAGAGGCTTGAGATATTATATGTGTGTGTGTGTGTGTGTGTGTGAATCACTCTTGTCATACCTGATAAGTAATATTGATTATTCTCATCACACTTCCAGACGAGAAATGCACCCTCTTTGTTCTCTGGTCTCAGCAGACATCTCCTGGCCTCTATACGTGTTTTAACACTCTCAAAAAACCATCTGAAAATCAATTGATACTAGTTTTTATTAAGTGTATTTTAATTTGAGTCCAATACATTATATGGTGGCACAACTTTGTATGGCAGATTAAATGGACAATAAAGTAAATTAATTAACAAGTGAATCTCAGGA